TCCTCCGCCCTCCTCCTCCTCCCTCTCCCTCTCCCTCTCCCTCTCAAAACGGCCCTCCTCCCTCCTCTCCTCCCTCCTCGCCCTCCCTCCTCCCTGCCCCCAGGGCCCCCCCCAAACCAGAAAACGGTCAGACGCCTCGACAAGCTCCCAACCCTGAATCCCGACGGCTACTTTCCGAGTCCGGCCTCCCGAGGCCCGTCATCGGTCGCTGGGGCCATCCAACATGGGTCCGGACCGCCAAACTACCCGCGGGCCAGTGGCCAGGAACTCTGGGGCCGCGGATTGCAGAAACAGAGCGGCGGATGTCAGGTTTCAAACACCCCGCTGCGGGTGACAAAGGAGAGGAGAAGGTCGAATATCCCGCGTCCCTAGGAGGAGGAGGAGGACGACGAGGAGAAGGAGGAAGAAATTACCCTGTGACGTACCCGACCCATTTGTATCATGGGAAACGAGGAGTTGGCCGAAACTTGCATGGACAATCAAATTGCAGGATCCGTTGTTTGATATGTAAGTTACTTGGGACACGCGCCTATGGCATGATGCGCAGGAGAACCATACAAGAAAGATGGGCAACAGCTACACGCTCGATGAGGACATGGGGAGTCGGGAACGAAGAGCAGGAGAAAGACGTGCGGGAAGCCCACTGTGCTGGGCCCCCCAGCAGGCCTCGAAAGTGGCGACAGTTTCACAGATCGCAGCCCCCCAGGGATGGCGAGGTCCCATTTGAGTCTGCGGTGGGTACCCACTGTGCTGGGCCCCCCAGCAGGCCTCGAAAGTGGCGACAGTTTCACAGATCGCAGCCCCCCAGGGACGGCGAGGTCTAATTTGAGTCTGCGGTGGGTACCCACTGTGCTGGGCCCCCCAGCAGGCCTCGAAAGTGGCGACAGTTTCACAGATCGCAGCCCCCCAGGGATGGCGACGAGCGAGGTAAAAGGCAGAGGGGGAAGAGAGGGACGGGAAGGAAGGAAGGAGACGCGCGAGCAGTGCTCTATTCAAAACGAGAACCCAACGCAGGAGGGTTGGGAAAAAAGGAGGAGGAGGAGGAGGCGGAGGAGGAGGCCTTCGACCCCATCGAATATGCCGCGTCCCTCCCCTCGGGGCCGCCTGGCGCATCCGGGCCTCCAGGCGCTCCCGCACGCTGCGAAGGACCTGGGGACTGGAGGAGGGGAGACAAGGAGGAAGGTGGGGCCAGGGGGGATCAAGGGAGGAGGGAGGGAGGGGAGGAGGAGAGGGAGGAGGAGGAAGGAGGGGGATCTAGGGAGGAGGGAGGGAGGGAAGGGGGGAGGGAGGGAGAAGGAGGAAGGAAGGGGAGGAGGGGAAGCAGAGCGAGCAGGGCTGGCAAGCACGGGGGGGGAGCGAGGAGGAGACGGAGAGGGAGAGCCCCGGACGCGCCTAGCGAAAGCTCGCTTGCGGACCGAGCGCCGCTCAGCAACTGCAATGGGGTGGAGGAAGAAGAAGGGAGGAGGTGATGGACCGGCCGCGCCCCCGAGGGGGAGAGCGAGAGGGGGCAGGCCTTCTCGGAAGACCGCGGAGCTTCTCGGAAGCCCCCCGCGTCTTCCGAAGAGAGTCTGCGAAAGCGTCGCAGAAGGCCAGAGGCCTTCCGAGTCTGCTGCCAAGGCCCGCCCCCTCTGCCTGCTCCCCATGGGCACGCCGCCGCGCGGACGAGGGGGAGGATCGGGAGCAAGAGCGGGAGAGGGGCCTGGTGCTGATTGAGATCAAAATTGAGATCGATAGTGAGATCGAGATTGAGATCGATCGGACGTGAGGGGGCGAGATCGGCGTGAAACGGGGAGCCCACCACCGGGAAATCGGTTTCGGTTTCGGGCTCGTGTCGTGCGTGCGGGCGAGGCGTAACTGCGTGGGCAGGCGAGAGGAATGAACCCTCCTCTGGCTAGGGCGCGGCGAGGACAGAAGTCTGGCCCCGCCAGCCGCGTGGCGGGCGGGTGCCGAAGATGCCCCTCGGTGGTCGATTGGTGTCCCCATGGCGGGCTGCTGGTGTGTCGATGCTGTCCCGCGGTGTCCCGCCGTGGTGTCCCAATGGTGTCCAGTGGTGTCCCGTGGTGTCCCGTGGTGTCCCGATGTTGTCCCGCGGTGTCCCGTGGTGTCCCCTGATGGTGTCCCGTGGAATCCCGTGGTGTCCCGATGGTGTCCCGCGGTGTCCCGTACTGTCCCGCCACGGTGTCCTGACAGTGTCCCGCAGTGTCCCGTAGTGTCCAGTGGTATCCCATGGTGTCCCGCGGTGTCCCGTGGTGTCCCGTGGTGTCCCGCCGCGGTGTCCTGACAATGTCCCGCAGTGTCCCGTGGTGTCCCATGGTGTCCCGCGGTGTCCCGTGGAGTCCCGTAGTGTCCCGTGAGATCGATAGTGAGATCGATCGTGGGATCGACAGTACGATCGATAGTGAGACCGATAGAGGGATCGATAGGAAGGTCGAGTGTGAGGTCGATTGTGAGATCGATTGTGAGCTCGTTAGTGAGATCGATGGTGAGAGGGATAGTGAAATCGACTGTGTTAGTGAGATCGGTTGTGCGATCGATAGTTATACCACTAGTAATATCGAGAGTGAGATCGACAATGAGATCGATAGTGAGATCGATAGTGTGAAGGACGGTGATATCGTGATATCAATAGTGAGACCGATAGTGAGATCGTTAGTGAAATTGGCAGTGAGATCAATAGTGGGGTCGATTGTGGTATCACTAGTGGAATCAATCGTGAGAGGGATAGTGAGATCGATTGTGAGATCGATCGTGGGTTCGATTGTGCCATCGATAGTGATGCCGATAGTAATTTCGATTGTGAGATCGACGGTGAGATCGATAGTGAGATCAACGGTGATACCGATAGTGAATTCGACAGTGAGATCAATGGTGAGATAGCTAGTGGGATCGATAGTGAGATCGATTGTGAGATCGATAGTGAGACCGATAGTTATATCGATAGTGGGATCGACAGTGACATCGACCGTAAATTTGATAGTGAGACCGATGTTGAAATCTTCAGTGTGATCGAAAGTTGGATCGACATCGACAGTCAGATCGACAGTGAGGTCGAGTGGGAGGTCTATTGTGAGATCGATTGTGAGATCGCTAGTGAAATCGATGAGTGATCCACCGTGGTAGCGAGGTCAATAGTGAGGTCGGTAGGGGAGTCGATTGCGAGACCGATAGTGGAATCGCTGTTGAGATCGATAAAAAGATCGATCGTAAGATCGACAGTGATATCGAGATTGAGACCCATCGTGAATTCGGCATTAAGACCGATAGTGAGATCGATAATGCGATCGATGTTGAGATCGATCGGAAGTGAGGGGGTGAGATCGAAGCGGAACGGAGAGCCCAGTACTGGGAAATAGGTTTCGGTTTCGGGTTCGTGTCGTGCGTGCGGGCGGGGCGAAGCTACCTGAGCGGGCGAGAGGAATGAACCCTCCACTGGCTAGGGCGCGGCGAGGACAGAAGTCCACTCCATCCCTGGCCGCGTGGCGGGCGGGTACCAGGGGTGTCCAGCCGTGGTGTCCCTATGGTGTCCCGTGGTGTCCCACGCTGTCCCGTGCTGTCCCGCGGCGTCTCGATTGGTCTCCCGATGGTGCCCTGGTGGTGTGTCGATGGCGTCCCGCGGAGTCCCGCCGTACCGCGATGGTGTCCCAGTGGTGTCCTGTGGTGAGGGCGATACTGACATCGATAGTGAGATCCATAGCGAGGTCAATAGTGAAATCGATAGTTAGATAGATTGTGAAATCGGTAGTGAGATCGATTGTGACATGGATTGTGAGACCGATAGTGAGAACGTTAGTGGGATCGATGTTGAGATCGATACAGAGGGGGATCGTGAAATCGATTGTGATCGATAGTAGGGTCGATTCTGAGAGTAATACTGATATCGGTCGGGTGAAATCGATTGTGATGTCGATCGTGAGATCGATAATGAGTTCGATTGAGTAAAACGTTGGCTCCCCCCCCAGAACCTCATTTTTACCGTGGTGTCCCGTGGTGTTCCGCGGTGGCCCGTGGTGTCCCGTGGCGCGGTGTCCTGTGGTGTCTCGCGGTGTCCCGTAAGGCCGATAGTGAAGCCGATAGTGCGATCGATAGTGAGATCGATAGTGGCATCGATAGCGCAATGTGAGATCGCAAGCGCGATCAGTAGTGAGATCGATAGTGGAGTCACTTTTGAGGTCGGTTGTGAGATCGATAGTGACATCGGTTGTGAGATCGATTGTGAGATCCATAGTGGGATCGATTGTGTGAACGATCGGGTGAGATCGATTGTGAGATCGGTCATGAGATCGATAGCGAGATCGGTTGAGTGAGGCATTGGTTCCTGCCCCCCGAAGCCCCCCCGTCTGCCTTCCCCCCTGGGCGCGCCGCCGAGTAGAAGAGGAGAAGGATCGGGAGCAAGGTGCTAAATTGAATCGAAAGTGAGGGGGTGAGATCGAAGTGGAAACGAAAGCCCCCCACCGGGAAATCGGTTTCGGTTTGAGGTTCGTGTCGTGCCACAGGGTGCAAGCACGGAGCGCTCCCTCCTTCCTTGTTTCCCTGTCCTTCCAGCTTCCCAAAATCCTTATCCCCCATCCTCCGTCCTCTATCAACCTTGCAGGCCGCATGCCAAGCACGAGTTACGAGGGGAGAAGGAGAAGACGAAGGAGGGAGTGGTAGAGGAGGGGGAGGAGGGGGAAGGAGGAGGCCAGGGAGTGAGGAAGGGGAGGAGGTCGGAGGAGGAGGTAGAAGAGGAGGAGGAGGAGGAGGAGAAGGACGAAGGGAGACGGAGAAGGATATACATGGTGGCGGTCAAGTAGAGCAGAAGCGAACGAATATCCAGCTGAAAACTCAAGAGACAAGACACACATTAGAAAATAGAAGCAGACGACTACCTCACGTAGGAGAAATCTATATGACATCAGGCCTACCTATTGATTCTATTAAGTAGACCCTGGCAGACACCAAAGCGCCTACATGGTCAGAAATCCCAATCAGGTGGGGGAAGTGTCTAAAGGCAGTCCCTATAGTCGTGCATGCGGGCGAGGCGAAGCTGCGTGGGCGGGCGCGAGGAATAAACCCTCCTCTGGCTAGGGCGCGGCGAGGACAGAAATCCACCCCAACCCTGGCCGCGTGGCGGGCGGGTACCGGGGGTGTCCCGCCGTGGTGTCCCGATGGTGTCCCGTAGTGTCCCGTGGTGTCCCGTAGTGTCCTGCGGTGCCTCGATTGATGTCCAGACAGTGTCCTAATAATGTTTCGGTGGCGTCCCGCGATATCCCGCCATAATGTCCCGATGGTGTCCCGTGGTGTTCCGTGGTGTCCCGTAGTGTCCCGCGGTGTCCCGCAGTGTCCCATGGTGCCCCGTGACGGTGTCCCGTGGTGTCCCGTGGTGTCCCGTGGTGTCCCGTAGTGTCCCGCGGTGTCCCGCGGTGTCCCAGGGTGTCCCGTGACGTTGTCCCGTGGTGTCCCGCGGTGTCCCGTGGTGTCCAGCGGCCAGTGGTGTCCCGTGGTGTCCAGTGGTGTCTCGTGGTGTCTCGCGGTGTCCCGCGGTGTTCCGCGGTGGCCCGTGGTGTCCTGCGGTGTCTTGTGAGGTCGATATCGAGATCGATAGTGAGATCGATAGTGAAATCAATAGTGAAATCGGTGGTGAGACCGATCGTGAAATCGATGGTGAGATCGAGCATGCGATCGATAGTGAACTCGATAATGAGATCGCTAATTAGATCGACCGTGATATCGATAATGTCATCGACTGTGAGATCGACCTTGACATCAGTAGTGGTACCGATAGTGAGATCGATAGCGAGACCGATACTGGAATCGATAACGAAACCAATAGTGAGATCGATAGTGGCATTAATGGTAAGATTGGTACTGGGACTGGTAGTCAGATCGACAGTGAGATCGGTAGTGGGGATCGATAGTGAGGTCGATTGTGACGACGACTGTGCGATCGATCGTAGGATCGTTCGTGAGATCGGTACTGGGATCGACGATGAGATCGATTATAAGACAGATAGTGAGGTTGACTGTGCGATCGATTGTGAGATCGATAGTGACATCGATTGTGAGATCGATAGTGAAATCGATTGTGTGCGACGGAGGTTCCCCCCGCCCCCCTGAACTCCGAACCTCCTTATCACCCGAAGGGTGCTCGTGTAGGTGTGGATATGTGTATATATGTATGTGTTTATGTCTATTTATGTACATATATGCACACATATAAGTATATACGTACAAACGTACATACATACAACCAAACAAACAGACAACTAGACAGACAGATTGGCATGCATGCATAAGACATTCATGTCTGGATGTGCGTACGTATGTATGTCTGTATACATGTGTACGTACATGTCCATGTATGTATGTGTATATTTGCATTTGGGTATGTATGTATGTATGTACGCATGTGTGTATCGATGTGTGTGTGTGTGCGCAAGCATGTGTGTATGTGTATGTATGCGGGTATGCCTGCATGTTTGTAAGTGCTTATGTGCGTACGTATGGGTGTATGTATGTATGTGTGTACGTAGGTAGGCAGGTAGGTAGGTAGGTAGGTAGGTAGGTATGTCTGTATGTGTGGGTGTATGGATGTATGGATGTATGGATGTATGGATGTATAGATGTATGGTTGTATGGATGGATGGATGGATGTACATGTGTGTATATATATAGATGGTTCCTGGCGTTTCCCCCATTCTGAAATCCGCCGACCCTGTCGGCGTGTGGAAGAGGCTGTTCCGGTTGACTCGTCGTCGTCGTCGTCGTGGTCGCTTTCGTCGTCGTCGTCGTCGCCTTCGCCGCTCTCCCTCCTTTCCCTAGGCCCGTCGCCGCTCCCCCCACTTTCACAGGGCCCTCCTCCTCGAGCGCGCCAGCCACAGCGAAATTGAGCAACGTTGTAGTTGAGTCGAAGGGAAGCCCCTTCCCTTTGATCCTTTCCCCGCCCGGGGGTGGGGGGTCCCGAGGGGGGGGTGTCCCGGGGGGGGGTCCCAGGGGGTCCCCGGGGGGTCCCGGGGCGGATACGACTCCCCCTCGGGATGGTTCGGCGGCCAAGAAAAGCCGCAGGACGCGGCAAAAGTGCTCCAAGATGTCCCCAAGACGATCTTCGAGGGTTCCATATCGCTAAGGTATCGGTATAAGTCGCCAAAGTAACCTCCAGAAGGCACAAAAGGTTTCCACAACGCCCCAAGATGCCTCCAAGAGGACATCCAAGACGGCCTCCATGGGCAAAAGTCGTCGATTTCCCCCACGTTTTTTTTAAGATTTCGGCGTTGTCACCTGGTCAACTTCCCGACGATCCAAGACCGGCCAAGAAACCCCCAAGACCGCCGCAAAATGGCCCAAGAGGCCTCCAAAAGAGTTCCGAAACGACCCAAGAGGGCCCCAAGACCGACCAAGAGGCCTCCAAGACAGCCGAAGAGGCCCCCAAGACGGCCCCAAGGAGGAGCCCAGACGGGGGACCCGAACGAACATGTCGAGCCCTCGGCCTCAGATGCTCTCAGGAAGCCCCCATGGCCCCTAAGAATCACCCCGAGAAGCCCCAAGAAGCCTCCAAGAGATCCCAAGGTAGCCTCAAGAGGCTCCCCCTCTTCCCTCTCCTCCCCTCCTATTCCTCCTCCCCCCTCGCACCTCCTTCTCCTCCTCCTCCTCCTCCTCCTCCTCGCCCCTCCTGCTCCCTAGCGTCCTCCGCCACCTTCTCCTCAGCATCCTCGTCGTCCTCGTCGTCGCCGTCTTCAGGGTCGGCGGCACCGGCCGTAGGGCCTTCGCAATATTGAGTTTTTTTTGTGGGGGTCTTCGGTCCCCCATACACGCGTCAAGACGGGCTGGAAGGTTCTTCGCGTCGCGGGGGTCATCGACCCCCTACTTTCTTGGCCAGGATCTATTCTTACATGGATACACGTGTTCTCCATCTCCCTCTCCACCAGTTCCCTCACAGGTCCCTGCCCCCCGGAGTCGAGACCAGTGGGGAGGAGGGGACGAGTGGGGGGATCCCTGGCTCCCCTCCCCCCCGTCGCGCCCCCCTCCTGGTCCCGAGCCTGGGGGGGGGGGCGGCAGCCCCCCCAGGGGAGCGAGGTGCTGGCCAGCGCGGGCTCACGGCTCCGACGCCTTGCACTGAACCCCCACCTCCCGCTGTTTTTTGTTGCCGAGTGCGCGCCAGTGCAGAGCGCAAGATGGCGGCAGGCCGGTCCAAAGTGTAGGTGGGTGATGGTCTACGACTGCGCCAACCCAGAGTGCACGTGGGCGGCAGGCAAAGCGACGGCAGCCAAGGAGGCTGGCACGCGATGCCTCTGTGTTCCCCTCCAGAAGAGCTCGCTGCGCAGGCATCGACCGCCAAGCGCGTTGTACTGGTTCGGTCGTTGGCGGCTACAAAAATTCGGTCCTGATGTTTGGCGCCATGGCTTGGACAAGCTTACCAAGGCTTACTAGGGCTGAGGTGGGCTCGGGAACGCTGAGCAAAGCACAGCAGAGACTGCCAGGGAGCAGCAATGCTTAGCAGAGCTGAGCGTGGCTCAGCAGCGTCGACCAGGGCTTGGCTAGGCTGAACAGCATGTCGCATGGCTCAACAAGGCATAGCATGGCCTAGCAAGGCAAACTTACCTGAGCTTAGCAAGGGTTACATGGCCCACCTGAACATAGCAAGGTGTACCAAGTATAACAGGACAAAGCTTACCAGAGCTTAACACTGCTCTACAGCGCGTACCAGGACGTAGCAAGGTTTCGCAAAGCTTGCCTGGGCTTAGCACTGCTTAGCAACCCCAGTAATGCTAAGCAAGCTTTACAATACCCTAGCAGAGTTTACCACGGTTAGCAGGGCTTACACGGTCTGAAGCGAGTTTTGCAGGGCTTCACAAAGCTCACCAGGGCTCAAGGGTTCGCAAACACTACCAGGCATTGACAAACTTTACCAAGGCTGAACACGGCCCAGCAAGGTTTAGCAAGGCTTACCGAGCTAAGCAAGGCTTAGCAAAGCTCACCAGGGCATAACAAAGTTTACACAGCTTAGCAGGGCTCAGCAGGGCGTACCAGGACGCAGCAGGGCTTGGCAGTACTTGCCAGGATTTAGCAGCGCTTAGCAAGCCCAGTGGGGCTAGCACGGTTCACAAGACCTCAGCAAGGTTTAAGAACGCTCATGAAGGTTTACTATTTTTCAGCAGGTCTTCGAAGGGCTCAGCAAAACTCCGCGAAGCTCAGCAGGGCCGAAGGATTCCCAAGGAGTAGCAGGGCTTAACAATGCGTGCCAAGGCTGAGCAAAACTCAGCAAAGCTTAGCAGGGCATAGCGCTTCGCAAGGATTGCCAGGGTATCCTCCCGATGCCCCTCGTCATCATCCTCATCCTCCCTACTACGGATTCCCTACCGACGAATTAGCAAGGTTTAACAAGGCTTACAAAAGCATACCACTGCTTACAAAGGCTCAGCAAGGCCCACCAGGGCCTTGCAAAGCTTACCAAAGGCTTATAAGGCTCACCAGAGCTGGCCATGGTTGAACAATTATTACCAAGGCTGGGCAGGGCTCTTCAGGGTTGAGCAAAGTTGAGCACAGCTGAGCACATCTCAGGGGGGCTTACGGCTTCGCAAGGCTTAGCAAGGTGTTGCAAGCTTGCCAAGGCTGAACAAGGTCCAGCACGGCTTAGCAGGGCTTATCCAGCTCAGCTGGGCTGAGCAAGGTTGGCCAAGCTTGAGCAGGGCTTAGCAAAACTCTCCTGGGCATAGTCAAGCTGGCCAGAGCGTAACAGTGCTCAGCAGGGCATGCCAGGACTTAGAAGGGCTCTGACTAGCAGTGCTCAGCAGGCGCACGAGGGCTTTGCGAGGTTTACAACGCCTTGGCTGGGCTCACCAAGGCTTAGCAAGTCTTACCATGTCTAAGCAGGGCTTAGCAGGGCTCAGCAAAGATCCGCAGGGCTCCAAGCTTCGCAAGGGTTAGCAGGATTTGCAAAGCTTGCCGAGGCCGGGCACGGCTCAGCAAGACTTAGCAGGGCTTACCAGGCTTGCCAAGGGTAGCTGGGCCAGGCAAGGCTTACCAAGCTGAGAAGGGGTCAGCCGAGCTCACCAGGGCATCGCAAATCTCACCAGGGTTCAGCAAGGCGCACCAAGACTTAGCAGGGCTTTGCAGAGATCGCTGGGGCTTGGCACCTGCCTAGCAGAGCCAATTAGGCTTTAGCATTGCTTACCAGGGCTTCGCAGGGCTGAGCATGGCCTTCAAAGACATAGCAAGGACTACCAAGTCTTAGCAGGACTCTGCAGGGTTCAACAAAGCTCAGCAGGGGCTGAAGGCTTTGTGAAACTCAGCCGGGCTTTGCACAGCTTGCCCAGGCTGAAACGGGCTTGTCATCGTGGTCAATCATGGGTCGCGCGGCTTTTGCACTGCACAACGCGAACTGATGTCAATCGTGTGCTCTACCTTCTGGGGTTGCCGCTCGCGAGAGGAGGAGTGATATTCGTATGTGCATGGAGGTGAGGAGGCCCGCAACCAAATACCAACATCGCCAGTGTAGTTTCAAAAAGGCCAACATCGACTTCAGAAGGGGTGAATACGCCAGTGCCCCTCGATGTGTAAATATATACATATATATATGTGTGTAAATACAAATGAATACATACATATATATGTATATACACATACAAATACACATATACGTATACATACACATCTATACAAGTGTGTACATATAACGCCCGGGGTCGCGAAAGGGTCGGTCGCGTCCGCCAAACGCCTCTCCAAAGAATGGGGCGCCAAGGCGGCCCCAAGAGCGCCTTAGAGCGCCCCAGGAGCGCCCCGCGAGGAGCCTTCTTAAGCTCGAGGGGGGCGAGGCAAACTGCGGAACCCTCCTTTGATCGATGGCCTCCAAGATGAGAGGTCCCCCAGGGTCCCAAGAGGAGCCGAAGCCGTTCTAATGGATGAGGGGGGGGGAGGGGGGGCGCTCTCGGGGCGGGAGGAAGGAGCCCGCAGCTCCAGAGGCGGAGGAGGAGGAGGCGGAGGAGGAGGCGGCGGGGACAGAGGAGGAGACCGAAGAGGAGACCGAGGCGGAGGAGACCGAGGCGGAGGGGCCCCTGCCCCCCACAGGGGCCAGCGACCGCCTCGGTGCTCGGCGGCCGCAGGCCAGGGCCGGGCTCCAGAGCTCCTGCGGGCGTGGCGCGCGCGCAGTCGCGGCGAGCAGGAGGAGGAGGAGGAGGAGGAGGAGGAGGAGGAGGAGGGGGAGGAGGAGGAGGAGGGGAAGGGGGAGGAGGAGGAGGAGGAGGGGAAGGGGGAGGCGGAGGAGGAGGGGAAGGGGGAGGAGGAGGAGGAAAAGGAGAACGACGACGACGGGCTTCGAGGATCGAAGCTCGAGGATGATATGTGTTTCTGGCTGTGCTGTTTCATAATGGGGGCCTCCTGGGGCGCCCTCGTCACGACGGCTGGATCCCCCTAGAGATTCAAGCCAAAACGAGCCTCTGTAGAGGTCCAAGGGGTGATTGTTAATGATGATTGTGACGATGATGATGATGATGATGATGATGATGATGATGATGATGACGATGATGATGCTGATGATGATGATGATGAGAATGCTGGTGATGGTGATGGTGATGATGATGCTTATGATGATGAGCGTTGTGATGCTGGTGATGGTGATGGTAATGGTTACGATGATGATGATGATGATGATGATGATGATGATGATGGTGATGATGATGACGATGCTGATGCTGGTGATGCTGATGATGGTGGTGGTGGTGCTGGTGATGATGATGGTGATGATGCTGATGATGGTGCTGATGGTCGTGGTGATGGTGATGATGATGCTGCTCATGATGATGATGGTGGTGATGGTGATGGTGATGGTGATGGTGCTGGTGCTGGTGGTGGTGTTGCTGGTGATGATGCTGCTGGTGATGATGCTGATGATGCTGATGATGATGATAATCATGATGCTGGTGGTGATGATGATGGTGATGATAGTGATGGTGATGATAATGGTGGCGATGATGGTGGTGGTGATGGTGATGGTGATGGTGATGGTGATGGTGATGGTGGTGGTGGTGAGTAAAACAATGGTGGTGGTGATGGTGAGTATAACGATGGTGATGGTGAGTATAACAATGAGTATTACCATGACGATGGCGATGACCATGATGATGGTGATGATGATTATGATGATGGCGATGATGGCGGTGATGGTGGTGGTATTGATGAAGATGCTGACAATGAAGACTTTGAAACAATGATGGTAACAACAGGGGCGCATATGATGGTGGTGATGATGATGACGATGAGAATGGTGATGATGATGATGATGATGATGATGATGATGATGATGATGGCGTTGATGATGCTGGTGATGACGACGATGCCGAAGATGATAACGATGATGATGGTGGTGGTGGTGGTGCTGATGGTGATGTTGATGATGGTGGTGATGATGATGACGATGATAATGATGGTGATGATGCTGACGATGATGACGATGATGGTGATGATGATGATGACTATGACGATGATAATGATGATGGTGGTGGTGATGATGATGATGGCGATGATGATGATGGCGGTGGTGATGGTGATGGTGATGGTGATGGGGATGATGATGGTGATGATGATGATGGTGATGGTGGTGATGATGCTGATGATGATGATGGTGATTGTGATGGTGATGATGATGTTGCTGATGATGATGATGATGACGATGCTGCTGGTAATGATGATGAATGGTGATGCTGATGATGGTGATGATGATGATGATGATGATGATGATGATGATGATGGCGCTGGCGCTGGTGATGGTGATGGTGATGATGAGGATGATTTCGAGCGTCCGCGCTCATGGCCAGATCCGCCTCAACCCCCGGACTAAAACTCGGCCCACGAGAAATCTGGAAGGAGGAGGAGGAGGGGCAGCAGCAGCAAAGTTCCCTGCCCCCTACCCCCCCCCCTCCTGCACCCCGTCGCGTCACTGCTACCTTGGACGGCTTGCACCGACGCCCCCTCTCCTTCAGCTTGAGACGTGACCCCCGCAGGGGTGAGAAGCCCCTCCTCCTTCCAGGCAGGAGCGCGCGCCCAGAGCCAACAAGGGCCCAAGCCTGGTGAGCCGCCGCCTGCGGCGAAAGCCCGCACCGCGCACTGAAAGAAGCAGCGAACCTGACAAAGGCAGACACTCTCCTCCTCTACTCAGGGGGAACGTCACGGGGGCACCGGCTCAGGGGACGGGGTAATCATCGGCCTGGAATCGGCGGCACCTCGCCGATGGATCGGCGACAGGGCCCCCGAGAGAGAGAATCCGGACGTTCCTGGGCGGGGCAGGCTAGTGGGCCCCTACTGGCGATTGGGAAAATATCTACTTAGGTCGGGCATGTCCTCCTACAGGCGGATTTTGGCAGAAAACATAATCAACAAAAAAGCAGACATGTTCCAAAAATAATCAGAGCATATCCTCACCAGACTATGTTTTACAATTCTTGAATACTCCACCTGTAGAGGAACAGGCACGACTTAATATTCCCCCATCAGAGCTTGCCTCTGTAGGGATCCTAGCGGATTCATAAAGCTTAGGATTTGTTCGGCAGGATTTCGGTGGCCGGTGGCCGGGTGCCCGTGTGCCCGGGTGCCCCTGGGTGCCCGGTGCCCCAAGATTTCGGTGGCCGGTGGCCGGGTTCCCGGGTGCCTGGGTGCACGTCGGTGCCCGGATGCTCGGGTGCTCGGGGGTGCCCGGAGGTGCCCAGGGGTGCCCGGGTACCCTATAGCCATGTAGCCCTATGGCCTTATAGCTCTGTAGCCCAATAGCCCAATAGCCCAATAGCCCATATAGCCCATATAGCCCTCTAGCCAAATATAGCCAAACAGCCCTATAACCCTGTAGCCCTGTAGCACTATAGCCCTATAGCTCTATGGCCCTATAGCCCTAGAGACTTAGAGCCCTGTAGCTCTAGAGCCCTAGAGCCCTATAGCCCTATAGCTCTATAGCCCAATAGCCCTATAGACCTATAGCCCTATAGCCCTATAGTCATACAGCCCATATAGCACGATAGCCCAATAGCCCTATAGCACTATACCCCTATGGCCATATAGCCCATATAGCCCGATAGCCCCACAGCCCTATAGCCCTATAGTCCTGTAGCCCCATAGCCCCAACAAGCATATGATTACTTTCCCCCGTACCATACATACATACATGCATACATACCTACATACATGCATACATGCATACATACATATACACGTACACATACACATACATGTGCATGTGCATATACCTATGTCTGCATGCGTATATATATATGTATTCATATGCATATGCATATGCATATGCACGCACATATACAAATACATATACGTATACATATGCATATGCATGTCAAAATACATACACATAGACATAGACATACACATGTGCCTAACTATATACATATACATGTACACACACACGTGCACATACACACATACATATACGCATACATACACATAAACATATACATGGTCACCGACATATACATATACGTATACATATACAAATACATATACATGTACATATGCAAATACATATACAAATACAAATACATATACACATATAAATGTACACATACATACATACATACTTGCATGCATGCATGCATGCATACATACATACACACACATACACACATACATATATACACACAGACATACATATATACATACATACATATATACATACATACATTCATACATACACACACACCTACAATTGTGCATATACATATACATATACATATGCATATGCATATACATATACATTTATATATATATATATATATATGTATATATATATGTATGGGTGTATGCCTGCATAAACGTAAAGTGTCGGGGTCCGCGAGGATCTGTTGCATCCGCGATGGAACCCCTCTCTGGCGCACAGGAGCGCGCCAGCAGTTCCAGCTCCGAATGCTCGTGGCTAGTCGAGCACCCCCCCCCCCCGAGCCGACCCCCCGGCCTACCGGTGCCCCTGACCATCCTCCCAGCGCAGCCCCAGCCTGCCTCCTTCTCCTCCTTATCTCCTCCTCCTCCTCCTCCTTCTTCTCCTCCTCCTCCTCCTCCTCCTCCTCCTCCTCCTCCTCCTTATCTCCGCCTCCTCCTCCTCGAGCCATAACTCGGCTTATCATCAGGTCGGGCGTGTCCCCCGACATGCGGATTTTGGATGAAAAATTTTGAGAAAAAAAACACAAGAATGATCCAAAAATCGTTCCCAAAATATATTTGACTATTTGGGAATATTCCTCCTGTAGAGGGGCACGCCCGAGTTACGCTTACCGGCAGCCGACGACCCAGGCTCTCCCTCGGGGAACGCTCTCTCGGCGAGGCGCCGCCCCCCTGGAACGCGCACCCCGAGGCCGGAAAGCCGCCAGGAGCCCAAGAAGACACCCGAGGACCTCGAACCTCGAACCTCGAGAGTTCGTTTCCTCCTCCTCCTCCTCCTCCTCCGTATCTCCTCCTCCTCCGTATCTCCTCCTCCTCCTCCTCCTCCTCCTCCTCCTCCTCCTCCTGCTCCTCCTCCTCCTCCCTCTCCTTATCTCCGCCTCCTCCTCCTCCTCCTCCTCCTCCACTTCCCGCTCCTGGTCGTCGTCGATGTCTTTCAGGGTCGGCGGCACTGGCCGTCAAGCCTTCACAATAAGACGCCCAAGGAACTCGAACCTCGAACCTCGAGAGTTCGCCCCCCACCCCCCCGAGCCCGTCCCCCCCCCCCCCGCCTGACGTTTCCGCTGACCGTCCCTTCCATCCCCCCCCATCCTGGCAGGCACACGTTCCCTGGCCCGCACTGAGGGAAACCAACATGTACCAATACCACTACTCCCTGGACCTCTCCCGGGGCGCGTTCTGACCAGGATTTCGGGGCGAATCCAGCGGTGGCGACGAGGGCCTCCCAGGATGCCCAAAGAGGGGAAAACGGGCGAGGGGGTAAAGGCAGGGGTACCTTTTTCCTCCTCCTCCTTCTGCTCCTCCTCCTCCTCCTCCTCCTCCTCCTCCTCCTCCTCCTCCTCCTCCTCCTCCTCCTCCTCCTCCTCCTCCTCCCTCTCCTCCTCCTCCTCCGTACTAGCTGCGGCGCTGCAATCCGCCGACAGTTTGGACGCCCGGCATGGGTGGGGAAAAAGTGGGTAAAATGCCCAACAGCAAATGTTGTCCCAAACCAACAGCGGCCGCTGTTGGGCAGGCGGCTTTCTGTCCCAAACGGACACTGGCCGCGGCGGCGCGGACAGCGAGTCTTGTTCAAGATGAACTGGAACTGCTGTTGGGCATCGTACCCATTCTTTCCGTAACCATTTCGAGACCTTTTTTTTGAATCGGCGATAACCCGGGTTATACCAGGGGGGGGGAGGGGGGGGGGGGAGGGGGCCGGCCGATAACCCCAACCTTCGCGCTGTGGGCAGCCCTGCATGTGCCCGCGCCCCCCCACCCCGGACCTGCACAACCGGCAAGGTTAGGTTCTCCTTGGGGGGGGTGAGGGGGGGGGCAAGCCCGATAACGCGGGTTATCGCCGGACCCATAAAAAAAACAGTCTCGTCGCCCGTGCCGAGGCAGGCCCTTGGCTTCCACGGCTCCGCCACGGCTCCGCGGCCCCAGCGACGAAAAGCGCGGCGTCCTGGCGTCCACGGCGCAGGCGGCGCGGCCCCCGGCAGCCCCTGCGCCTGGCGCGCGCGGGGGCTCCGCTCGGGGGGCCACACGGCGGGCGGGGCGCGGCGGAGGGCGGCCCCGCGCGCGATCGCCGAGCGAGCGCGCGGCAGGATACGACGAAGCCAGGGCGAGGACAAGTGGAAGAAGGAAAAACGCCATGAACATTAACGTTTGGCGCGCTCCACGCGGATTTCTCGGATTCGCGCTGGACCCCCCCTCCCTGGCGCGCTCCGCGCGCCAGGGGCGGCGCCGGAGGTGCCGCCGGGGCCCCGGGCGCGGATCCGAGAAATCCGCGCGGAGCGCCAAAAGTTTCTGTTTACGGCGTTGTTTGTTCCTTCGAGCGAAGCCTGGTCAGGATGTAAAGCAAGGTCTTTTTTTCCGAGCAAAGTCTTCGTTATTTTTTTCCTCCGAGCAAAGTCTTCGTTTATTTTTCTTCGAGCAAAGTCTTCGTTTTGTATTCTAGCGAAGCTCTGAGGTCCGGCGGCTCTGGAGGATGTATCGGGCGCCTGGACCCCCTCAGGGCGCCGCGGAACGCTCCGGGTTGGACCGATCCTCGGCCCGGCCCCGTCCGACAGGGCCCGGAGGGCAGGCGGCTCGATGGAGAATGCGGCCGGGAACGTTTGCTTAGCGTGTCGCGGCGGCGGCCCCCTCAGGGCGCCGCGGAACGCACCGGATCGGACCGATCCTCGGCCCGGCCCCGTCCGACAGGGCCTGGAGGGCGGGCGGCTCGATGGAGAATGCGGCCGGGAACGCTTGCTTAGCGTGTCGCGGCGGCGGCCCCATACAGCGTGCCGATCCGCTTCGCGGGTCGAGAGGCTGGGAAGATCTCGAGGCGTCGGCGCTCGAGGGCCGGGACGTGGACAGCGTGCCGCTCCGCAGCGTGGTGGGACGCGACACTCTAAGCAAAAGTTCCTGACCGTAATCGTCTTCGTCGCCGGATCGGAATTTCTGTGCGTCGCCCTTGCTCTTGTGGCCTTGATTGGATCGTCGTCCTCGTCCTCGGGATCGGAGTTTTCGTGCGTCGTCCATGCTTTGGGCCTCGACGGAATCGTCGTCCTCGTCCTCGTCGTCGGATCGGAGCTTTCGTGCGTCGCCCATGCTCTTTGGGCATCCAGGAGCAGTCTCGCCGCCACGGCTGGATTCCTCTCGAAGTTCAGGCCGAAACGCACCCAAGAACAGGTCAAGGGGTCGACCTCTGGAACGCACCCCTAGAACTCCTCCTCGTCCTTCTCCTCCTGCTCCTCCTCCTCCTCCGCGTCCTCCTCCTCGTCCTCGTCCTCCTCCCCATCGGCGATGAGTCGTCGATTCCAGGTCATTGAATCCTAGCCCCTCTGGGGCCTATCGCCGATCTATCGGCGATGCACCGTCGATTCCAGGTCATCGCGTCCCCGGGAACTCAGACCTGGCTGTCGGCCCGTACATCGCGGCGGATGTGTGCTCAAAGTTGTCAGCGCCAGAGGAGAGCGCGACTCAGGATGAGAAGCCCGAGGGGTCGAGAGCTCCAAGGGCCAGCGACAGGAAAAGACCGAAGTCGCAAAAGGTCTGGGGAGGAGAGACCGTGGACATCACATCCTCCTCCTCCTCCTCCTCCTCCTCCTCCTCCTCCTCCTCCTCCTCCTCCTCCTCCTCCTCCTCCTCCTGCTCACCACCAACATCACCACTCGAAGCCCGACACACGACTCGATTCGATGGTTGTTGGCAGCGCTAATGACTCACACGACTGCTAATTACGCTGCTATCGATGTGACTGCTGATGCTGCGACTGCTGATGCTTGCGCAACCGCTAGTATGGACTGTACGAGTGTTGCCATCGTCGCCAATGCAGACGTTCCTCTTTTCGGTCCAGCGTCGTTGCCTGCCTCCGATGCTCTCTCCTCTGATGGCTCTAACATCAGTCTTCCACCCTCTCCCTCTCATGTTCACTCCCCCTCCTCCTCCTCCTCCTCCTCCTCCTCCTCCTCCTCCTCCTCCTCCTCAGCATCAGCATCAGCATCAGCATCAGCATCATCAGCATCAGCATCAGCATCATCAGCATCAGCATCATCATCAGCATCATCAGCATCAGCATCAGCATCAGCATCAGCATCAGCATCAGCATCAGCATCAGCATCAGCATCAGCATCAGCATCATCACATCAGCATCAGCATCAGCATCAGCATCATCATCATCATCATCATCATCATCATCATCATCATCATCATCATCATCATCATCATCATCATCATCATCATCATCATCATCATCATCATCATCATCATCATCATCATCATCATCATCATCCTCTTCCGCCTCCGTATCCTTCTCCTGCCATCCCCGCTCAAGGCACCCCAGACAGTGCAGAAGAAGGGCTCGGCCACGCGGCGTTGGCGCCGCCGAAGCTGCCCTGATGGGAGGACGCCAGCTTCCTCTCCGCCTGCTTTGGCCGTGGCCCCGCCCGTGCCCTCGGCCCGGACCTCTGCCGCCCTACCAGATCAAGACGGCGGCGTGCTCCGAGCCTGGGCATCCGAGAGCCCGTTCCGCGCCCCTGGGCCCACGGACGACGGCACGCGGCGCGGTGCCAGTGGAATGCCCCGTGGAGTGCCCCGCGCTCCAAGACCGGCGCTCCAAGACCAGGGCCAGGGCGAAGTGCCCCCCCGTGAGGCGCTGCAGGGGCCGCGGCCACAGCCACAGTGTGCCCGAAGGCCCCCGGCCCCTGGGCGTGCCGAAGTGAGCCCCGAGGCCCCGGTCTCCAAGATGCGTCTGCTCCGGGCTCACGTCTGGCCTCCCCCGGTGCCTGGAGAGCCCCTGCTCGCGACCGACTCCAGAAAGCCAGGGAAGGCCCGCGTGGACCTCTCTTGGGGAAACGGCTGGAAGCCTCTCGAGGGGGGTCCGACTAGATCGGGTCGGAGGGTCGCGCCGCATCGCCGATGCATCGCCGATGCATCGGCGACGTCGGCGTGGAGAACCTCGGGCCTCACATCGAGCCGCGTCGCCGATGCATCGGCGATGTGGTGCCTTCGTCCGGCCCCATCTAGAGTCGGGATGCTGAAAGAAGGGATGAGGAACGAGGCCCCTTTTCGGCCCCAAAAGCGCACGCGTGCACGTTGAGGGCTAGAGGAACAACCGGGGAAGGATTTGAGGCACATCGAGCCCCTTCCGAACCCAAACTGTTCCTTACTTCAGCGTCTTGGCTGTACTCCGACTCCATTTGGACGGCCTGGAATGGCGACTTCCGCTGGCGTCCGTCGAGCTCCCGCCAGCGTCACTCCAGCCAGCGTGCGCCGAAGCGCGGCGTCGGCCTCCCGATGCCTGGACAGCGAGCTCCTCCTTCCAGGGCGTCCAAGGGAAGAGCTCGCAGATCATGGCAGGAGGCATGTGCGCGGCCGAGAAGGGGGGCCAAAGGGCGCACTGAAATAGGAAGAGGGGGCCATGAAATCCGGAGGAGGGAGGAGGGAGGAGAGGGGAGGAAGGAGGAGGAGGAGGAGGAGGAGGAGGAGGAGGAGGAGGAGAGGATGAGGAGAAGGAGAAGGAGGAGGAGGAGGAGAGAAGAGAGGGAGGGGGGAGGAGGACGGGGAGGACGGGGGAGGAGGAGGAGGAGGAGGAGGAGGAGGAGGAGGACGAGGAGGAGGAGGAGGAGGGAAGACATCATAGTCCTGGCCATAAAATCCAGCCCCGCTAGTCATCACTCCCCTCTTGGCCGCCCCCGTTTGCTGGAGCACCCCTGCCTCGATCCTGGGTCCGAGACTGGAACGGCCAGGGCCGGTGCCGCACCTCCGACGCCGTGCTGTTTCCAAACCATCCTGTGGTGTTGGGTCCTCGTTTTGACGAGACAGCGCCCCGCGTTCGCCTTTCCTCCCCCTCCTCCTCCTCCTCCCCTCCTCCTCCTCCTCCTCCTCCTCCTCCTCCTCCTCCCCTCCTCCTCCTCCTCCTCCTCCTCCTCCCCTCCTCCCTCCTCCTCCCTCCCCTCCCTCCCTCCCTCCCTCCCTCCCTCCCTCCCTCCCTCCCTCCCCCTCCCCTCCCTCCCTCCTCCCCTCCCTCCTCCCTCCTCCTCCTCCCTCCTCCCTCCTCCCTCCTCCCTCCTCCCTCCTCCTCCTCCCTACCTCCCCTCCTCCCTCCTCCCTCCTCCCTCCTCCCTCCTCGCTCCTCGCTCCTCGCTCCTCGCTCCTCGCTCCTCGCTCCTCGCTCCTCGCTCCTCCTCGCTCCTCGCTCCTCCTCCCCTCCCTCCCTCCTCCTCCCTCCTCCCTCCCCTCCTCCCTCCTCCCTCCTCCTCCTCCCTCCTCCCTCCTCCTCCCTCCTCCGTCCTCCCTCCTCCTTCCTCCCCTCCTCCCTCCTCCCTCCTCCCTCGTCCCCTCCTCCTTCCTCCCTCCTCCCTCCTGCCTCCTCCCTCCTTCCTCCTCCCTCCTCCCTCCTCCCTCGTCCCTCCTCCTTCCTCCTTCCTCCTTCCTCCTTCCTCCTTCCTCAGTCCTCCGTCCTCCTTCCTCCTTCCTCCTTCCTCCGTCCTCCGAGTCGCAACCAGCTTGGGATGCGGCGATCGAAGGGAACTCCGCCCTCAAGGAGGCATTCATGAGAGCCCTCGACGAGGAATTGCATTGCCGCCTCAAGATGGCCAGTGGCCACACCCTCTGCGACATCAAGAGTTCCTACGATATGATTGAATAGCACACGCTGGTCAGAGGGGCCCTGCGGTACAGCGTTCCAGCTCGAGTTCTCTTTCTCGAGCTGCAGGTGTGCGCAAGTCCACGTCTTCTCGCCCAGTTCGACGCCACCTCGGACGCTTTCCAGGCCACCAGGTCCATTATCCAAGGCCTACGCAGTGGCACTCGCTTCGCCAGATGCATGACCAATAGGGCGATGGAGGTCCTCACTGTCGCCAACCCGATGCTCTCGGTGAGGCTCTGGATCGACGACCTCTCCCAAGTAGCTGTTGGGTCGCCTGCTGTCGTGAAGGAAGCCATCGTCAACGGGGCCACCGCGCTCAGCAATGCTCTGATGGACGAATCCTTGGAGCTGGTTTCGAAGAGTGTTGTCACATGCTCTTCCATGGCCACCACGCATGCTATTGTTCGGCGTTTGAGGATGCGCGGGATCACAGTTCAAGGAGCCCAGCAGACAGCCTACCTGGGAGTCGATCTCGGAGGAGGCCGTCGCCTTGCACTGGCTACCAGGATTAAGCGCATTAGCCAGACAAGGAAGCAGCACCTCATGATCAGGAGATTCGCGGCTTCCACCAAACGGTTTCAGACGCTGTTGAAGGTAGAGAGAGCTGGCCCACAGGCTGGAGCGACTTACGGCCACGAAGTCCACGGCCTCCCACTCACTACTATCACGCACCTCAGGGGGAGGATGTCTCGGTAGCTGGCAACCACCGACATGGACGCTGCCTAACCACGCTCCTCGACCTCCGGGAGCCTAGAAGTGATCCAGGATATGCGTTACCCACAGGATGTATTCGTATGTCGCTCAAGGCATGGATTGAAGATCCATGCTTACACGCCCCAGTTCATCGAGTCTGGAGAGATGTGATGGACCATTTCCAGCGACTCGAGCCTCAGCACAGAGCTCGTCACTTCGGAAGGCCCCTCACTGCTGTCGTGCACTACCTTCTGCAAGCAGGCTGGGCGGGGGCCCTCGCCCGCGGCGTGGTATCCCCCTAGTGGCGTCGACGGCATCGCTCATGGCTGGTCTTTCTCAGAGCCCCTCGCTGCCATGGGCGAGGCCTCGGAGCTGCCGGCGGAGTCCCGCGCCACGCTCCAGCGCCTCCCGTGGCGAGAGGCCGCGAAGGGCTGCTGCGGCTCTGTGCTGGAGGAGCGCTTGGGCATGGCTTAAGGTCAGGAAAGGTCTCCTTTCGTGCCCCTTTCGGGCCCCTCCAGCGCCCCAGGGGGCTCGTTTAGGTACCGTTTGGGTACCTTTTCGGACCACCCTCGCCACCCCCCCATTTATGACCCCCCCATTACGCAACGCCCAAAGCGCGCGGGCAATTTCAGTCTCCGGAAGTTCCTGTATCAGCTGGAGCAGCTCCCACACGGCCGCCGCTTGGCGGAGCTCATGGGGACCATCGCCGTGGGCGAAGCCTGGCCAGCCATGAGGCGGAGGGAGGCAGGCTGTTCCGAGTCCGCCTCCTGCCAACGGTGCAAAATTCATGATGAGTACGCTCTGCACCGGTACTATGTGTGCGATTGTAAGTATGACTCCTCGCCTGCGGTTTCTTACTCTAGTCTTTGGTTCCGAAGGCGCAGGCCCAGTCAGCAGGAGAATAATGTTTTTGGTTTCGAGGGCTCACCCCAGCCTCATGGACCAAAGTAGAGCCCCCGAATATGGAAGAATCATGGTCGGCCCCTCCCAATGTCTCCGAGATAGGCCCCACCTTTTTCGGAGTCGGCACCTTAGATAATCCTGTTATCTTGCACGGGGACGCCTCGGGAGGACCTGACACACACAACCCTCGGCTTCGCCGTGTGGGGGGGGCGATGGTCGATTCCTCACAATGGCGCTCTCAAGGCGAAGTGTCCTACCTTTTCGGACCCCTCCCAGGGACCCTCCAGACAGTTGCCAGGGGCGAGTTATATGCGCTCGCCACAGCCATTCGTCTTTCGCGGGGCCCCCTCGCCTTTGTAACCGATAATGGTGCCGTCTGCTCGGGATGGTGGGGTCGTTGCTACGCCCACCCCAGAGGGTCTCATATCGATGTGTGGCGCATGGTAGGTAAAACTTTGTCGGATCAGGGTCCTGACCCTGGCGAGATTGTCGTTTTAAAGGTTCCTTCCCACCTCGAGGCGGAGGAGACTGTTGAGCAAAGCGTTCCTCGGTGGATGATCGAGGGTAACACGCTTGCCGGCTGTCTCGCAGGAGCAGCGGCCAGGCAGGCTCGCGCCCCCCAGGCCCAACGCCACAGAGCCCCCTCGATCGAAGAAGCGGCCTGCCGTGTTCGTCACAGGCTGTCGAGGGCGGCCCTGGAGGCTGCCGCACATGACCGCCAGGGCAAGTTGAAAGAAATGCGCCCCATCTACTGCTGCTCGTGCGACCTGCCCGCCGACCCCCGCCACGGTGGCCCCTTGTTTCAGACCTCCCATTCCACGAGTGACTGTGGGCTGGGGTGTGCTACTTGTCATGGGTCCACGTCTGTGGCGGCGAGGCGAGTTCCTCTGAAGTCCGACTGCTTCCGCCCTGAGCGGTGGCCCAGTCACACGGCTCGGGCTCCTCAGGGGCATCATGTCCATCTCGCTGGGGGGGGGGGATCCATCCCTCACATCAGATGCTGTTCCATGAGCCTCTTGCTTTGTGGTTCTGTAAGACCTGCGGATCCACAGGCTAATCCCGTATAGTTGGCCTGGCCCAGGAGTGCAAGCCACCTACCCGTCCTGGCAGGGAGTATCTTGACCGTATCAGCCGAGGCCTCACGCCCAAAGCTCTCGGCAAGGCTGAGAAGTCGGTTAAGGCCTAACTCCTAACTTTCTCTGACTCGCTTCGCGAGAAGTCTGAATCTCTGAACCTCCTTTCTCCTTCCTCCTTCCTCCTTCCTCCTTCCTCCTCCTCCTTCTTCCTCCTCCCCCTTCCTCCTCCTTCCTCCTCTTTCCTCCTCGCCCTCCTCCCTCCTCCCATCCCCGTGCCCCATGTCAGCGCACCCCTTACACGCTTCGTGGCCCCATGGCGAGCTCCACCGAGGGCACTAGCGGCAAAGTCCGCCTGGCGGCCCCGCTCCAAGTCGCCACACCCATCACACGCTTCGCGGCCCCATACGGAGCCGCACGGAAGGCCCCAGCGACAGGGTCCACATGGCGGCCCCGCACCCGATTCGGCACACCCCTGACTTGCTTCGTGGCCCCATGGGGAGCTCCACCGAAGGCCCCAGCGGCAGGGTCCGCATGGCGGCCCCGCACTCATGCCAGTACACACCTCAGATTGTTCGTGGCCTCGTAAGGAGCTCCACTGGAGGCCCCAGTGGCAGGGTCAGCATGGCGGCCCCGCGCCCATTCCGGCGCACCCAAGTGAGCTCCACCGAAGGCCCCAGCGGCAGGGTCCACATGGCGACCCCGCACCCGATTCGGCAGACCCCTCACTTGCTGCGTGGCCCCATAGGGAGCTCCTTAGAAGGCCCCGGCGGCAGGTCCGCATGGCCCTCAGCGGCAGGGTCGCAAGGCGGCCCCGCACCTGATTCGGCACTCCCCTTACGGACTTCCTGGCCCCATAGCGAGCTCCGTCGAAGGTCCCAGCGGCAGGGTCCGCATGGCGGCCCCGCAAAAATGTCGGCACTCCCCTCACACGCTTCGTGGCCCCAAAAGGAGCTCCACAGAAGGCCCCAGCGGCAGGGTCTGCATGGCGGCCCCGCGCCAATTTCGGCAGACCCCTCACTTGCTTCGTGGGTTCCAGTGAAGGCCTCAGCGGCAGAGTCCACATGCTGGCGGCCCCGCAGTCGCTTCAGCACATCCCTCACACATCTCATGGCCACATAGCGAGCTCCACCGAAGGCCCCAGCGGCAGGGTCCGCATGGCGGCCTCGCACCCACTTCGAGACACCCCTCACTTGCTTCGTGGCCCCATAGGGAGCTCCACCGAAAGCCCCAGCGGCAGGGTCCACATGGCGGCCCCGCACAAATTTCGGCACACCCCTTACGCGTTTCGTTTCCCCATGGGGACCTGCCCCTCCTTCGTCCCACCTGCCATGCGGCACTCGCACCCGCGTATGGTTGGATCCTTCGCACGGATCTCTTTTCGTGGCTTGGACCTCCCGAGGTCTGGACCCCTTCCCCGGGACCGGCGCTTCTTCCCGAACCGATGACGACGGCCCCGGATCCCCGATAGGGCCCCCAGAGGCTAAAGATGGCGAGGATTTCCCCGCTGCCTTTTCCACGACGCGAGGAGGCCTTAGATGGTGGATGCATCGGTTGGCGTCCTCCCTGACCTGAACGGGGGTAGAAGCCCAGCTGCCGCTTCTGTACGGCGCGCTGTACGGGGGGCTCTGCACGCAGCCTGTGCGGCGAGGAGGATTGGCAGCAGCGGGCGGGCTGAAGGAGCGAAAGTACGAGAAGGAGTTGGCAGGAAATAAAAGGAGGAGGACGACGAGGAGGAAGGAGGGAGGAGGAGAATGACGAGGAGGAGGAGGAGGAGGAGGAGGAGGACGAGGAGGACGAGGACGAGGAAGACGAGGAGGAGGAAGAGGAGGAGGACGAAGAGGAGGAAGAGGAGGAAGAGGAGGAAGAGGAGGACGAGGAGGAAGACGACGGCTCTGAGAACGAGGACAAGGAGCGGGGCACGGGGGATAGTGGAGGAAGGGGCGCGGACTGCAGAAGGCAGGAAGAGGGGCTAGGATCCCAGGAGGGGCAAGAGAGATGCGACGATCACAACTGCAAGCAGAATTATCTCCTGATCGCCCTCGCCCTCGGTGTCTCTCTTTCTTGTTGTCTCTTTCTCTCTCTCTCTCTCTCTCTCTCTCTCTCTATGTATGTATATACAGACATGCCGGCATGCATACACACACATAAAAACATGTCTGGCTACATACATACATACATGCATACGTACAGACATACCTACATACATACATGTTTTCACTCGTTCATACATACAGACATACCTTACATACATAGATGCATGCATGTGTCCATACATACATATGTGCACGCACGCATATACAAACACACATGTTACGTACATGCAGACATGCATGCATGCATGCAGAATTGAGCACATATAGACACACAACCGCATACATATGTATATAGTACTACATACATACTGACAGACAGGCAGACAAACAGACATGCATGTGCGCATCGGTCCTTACATACGTACCTGCATGCATGCAGGCCTACATCCATACAAACATACATACATGCATGTATACATACATATATACATACACACATCCATACGTGCATATATACATACATGCATGCATGCATACATACATGCATACCTACATATCTATACTACATGCATACATACATGCATACACGCACACATGCAAGCATTCATACCTACTCACAGAAAAACGAACATACATACATAAGCACGTGCATGCACATAGACATACATACATGCAGACTTACACACAGATGCATGTATATCGCTTACTGCATGTATACAGACATACATACGTGCGTGTGTACATGCATGCATACATGCATGCATGCATGCATACATGCATACATCTATACGCACACGTATACATGCAGGCAATCGTACAACCATACATGCATCAATGCATACATGCCTACATGCCTACATGCGTGCATGCAGGTATACATGCATATATATATATATATATGGAAACATCCGTGTATGCATGCATGCAGACATGCAGGCACACACGCAAGCATACATGCATACGTACGTGTGTACATACATACGTATTTGCATACATGCATACAGAGCCAGATCAACCACTACATACATATGTACTATAATCACGCACGCTTCGTGCGCGGTTTGGTTCTAGCAAGCTCCAGCCCACGACAGCAGATGAGTTCACGCACATGCAACATCAGGAGTTACCCACTAATGGTTCGAGCTTGGGGAGCAGAAGTATGAATGAAGAATCATGAAGAACGTGAACCGAGCAGAGATGATTCCAGACAAGGCGCTGCACGAAGATCCCAAGAGCGCCCCAAGGGGGACCCAGGAGAACTCCAAAGGGCAGCCCCAGAAGATCCCAAGAGAGCACCGAGTGGGGCCCCAAGGAAGCCCCAAGAGAGGCTCGAAGAGGGACCCAAGAAGCCCCAGGCAGGCATAGAACAGTCGCAAGAGGCGCCCCAAGAGGACTCGAAGATGGCCTCCGAATGGCTTCAAGAGATGCCCAGGAAGTACCCCGACGAAACCCGCCGAGGCTCCGCGAGGGCCCCTTGGCCTCCAAGACCTGCCCCGCGAAGGCCATAGAGGAAGGCCGAAGAGGGCCCAGGAAGGTCTCCAAGAGTGGCGCCGAAAATGGCCCCAAGAGGTGCTCCGACAGGGCCCAAGATGCCCCAAAGAGGGCGCCAAAATGAACCCCAGAAAAGCCCCACGGCCCCAGGGGGGGGGGGGGGGGCCACCAGGGTGCCAAGCGGAGGCCCATGGTGGTGTCAGGAGGGGCCGCCGAGCGCTTCAAGATGGCCCACGACTGCGTGGAAGTCGGCCCGCAGACGGCCCCGAAGGGGGGCCCAAGTGCGACCCCAAGAGCAAGCAGGAGGAGGAGGAGGAGGAGGAGGAGGAGGAGGAGGAGGAGGAGGAGGAGGAGGGGGAGGAGGAGGGGGAGGAGGAGGAGGAGGAGGAGGAGGAGGAGAGGAGGAGGGGAGGAGGAGGAGGAGGAGGAAAAGGAGGAGGAGGAGGAGGAGGAGGAAAAGGAGGAGGAGGAGGAAAAGGAGGCCCGAGGAGGTGGCGCAGGAGGGCTCCGAGAGGCCTTCAGAGGGCCCCAAGGAGCCTCCATGAGGCCTCTACCAGTCCAGCTGCGGCTGGACCCCTCGGCGCTCCCATCCGCGAGGGGCCCCCGGAGCTCCGACAGTCGCGACCTGCCCCCATGAAATGGGATGGGGTGCTCGTGACTGATGGGACGCCTCCGCCCCACTCACTCACGCAGCTGCCTCCCTCGCGCACCCAGACCCACTCGTACTCAGACGCACTAGAACTCAGCCTCAATCGCGCTTAGACTTACTCGCGCTCAGTTTCGCTCATGCTCAGAGCCACTCAGATGCCGACCACCGACCACTGACTCTCATGCGCGCTCTCACTCATACTCACTTACAGCCATGCTCACTGACACCAAGACATGCTCACGTTCAGACGCACTCACACTCACATGCACTCACACTGGGCCCTTTTCGCACCCACGCGAACTCATACTCGGGCTTCTTTGCTGGGGATGTCTCCGGCGGTCTGCCTGCGTGTGCCCCTCCACCCAGACTTCTCTGCTGTCAGAGCAGGCTGCCAGGGCTAGAGCACACTGACACTCAAGCTGAGACGCACACATACTCAGAGCCGCTCACACTCAGACTCACCCACACTCATTACACTTCGGCTCGCCTCTTAGTCCGCTGGTGGGGATGACTGGAGCGATGCGCTGCTTTCAGCACTCCGAGGGGGGCCGCCAGGGTGTACTGCCTGGGCCTGCTCGCGCCAGATTGTTGAGGTGTCTCAGGCGTTTTGCCTGCTTGGTTGTTCAGACTCCTCTGCCTTCAGGTCAGATAGTGAGGACGTCTTGAGCGAGGCGCTGGTTTCAGCGCCGACACTCCTCCTGCCGACATTCCCCTTACTTACCCCTCCTCGCCCCCATCCTCCTCATCCTTTTTGCCTCCTCCCCCTCCTCCTCCTCATCCTCCGACTTCGACTCTTTCCCTCCTTGTCCTCCTCCCCTTTCTCTGCCTCACCAGCCTTCGGTGGCGCTCGGTGGCCCTCGACTACGGCGGACGACGGACGACGGGCGACGGAAGACGGAGGACGACGACGGCGGCGACGACGACGACGACGACGCCGAAGCCGACGCCGAAGCCGACGCTGACGCCGACGCCGCCGCCGCCGCCAGCGACGACGAAGACGACGACGTTGACGACGACGACGACGACGACGACGACGACGACGACGACGACGACGACGACGACGACGACGAACAGCGACCGATGACGCCGCCGACGATGACCCCGACGGCCGTCGACGTACGACTAACGACGAGCGACAAACGACGAACGACGCACGACCACCCCCTTGAGCCGTTTGAGACTCCTCCAAACCGTCTTGGGGGCGAATCGGGGCCTACCGGAGTCGCCTGGACGGCGGTCTGGGGTCGATCAGGGGAATGTGCTTGGGTTGTGGGCCATAAGTGGCTTGGACGTATGATGGGATCTCTTTGGCAGTCTCTCCGAGACTGGTTGGTGCTCTTTTGGGAGTCTCCTGGGTGCTTCCCGGGGGCGTCCTGGGGCCTCTTGGGGCCCCTTGGGGGCCCCTTGAGGGCTTCTTGGGGGCCTTATGGGGGCCTCTTGGGGCCCTTCGGGGGCCTCTCGGGGGCCTGTTGGCGACCTCGGGGGTGTTCTTGGTGCGAAGGGCTCAAAATGGCAGCTCGCATTCCCCGGTAGAACCCATGTTGGCGCCCTCTTGGGCCCCTCTTGGGCCGTCATCGGGGCTTCTTCGTCCGTCTGGAGGCTCTCTTGGGCCGTCGAGGGGCACTCTTGCAGGCGATTGTGGAGCGGGGGAGCAATTTGGGAGACCCCTTATGACGTCTTGGGCCGGGCTGAAAGAAAAATACGCGTGTGTTAGAAACCTGCGCTTCCTGAAAGGGAATGAAACGGCTCTTGCTTCTCGGGGCCCTCTTGGAGGACCTCTTCGAGCAGTCTCCAAGCGTCTTGGACGACTCTAGGCCGTTCAAGACGCCTCGTGAGCCGCCCGAGACCCCTGGAGGCCATCTTGAGCCACCTTTGGAGGCCCGGAAACGGGCCCACCAACACCAACATAGGTGGTTGCCTCCACAGGGGGAAGAAGATCCTAGATTTCGGTGTTGGTGGTCACCTTTCGGTCACTTGGAAGCCAGCATCTTACCACCATCACTGAGATCGGGATCACCGTCCCTCGGTGAAGGCACGACGCCGATATTGGTGTTGGTGTCAGCCTCTAGGCCTGCGATCGTGAGCCGCCCGAGACCCCTGGAGGCCGTCTGGAGCCACCTGACTGGCATCCAGGAGCGCCTGGAGCCTCCCGGGAGCCGGCCGAGAGCCCCATGGGTCCCCTCCGTGTGTGGTCGGGAGCTCGCGGCCCCGGGGGTCCCCCGGGCCCAATCCCCCGTGATATGCATGCAGATGTAGCCAAAAGTATACCAGCATGTGTGCATGTGTATTATACATATCCGCCGGCCCCCTTGTGGGGCCACCAGGCTGTAGGCCGAGGCTTCGCCGTTTCCTGTGCCAGTTGCAGCTTACAGTTTCCACTGTTACAGTCCTGCTTCTTGCTGGTTACTGTTCCTTGTTGAATTCTTGCTGCTAACTGTTCCTTGTTGATGGACCGCGCGAGGG